GGGTTGGGGAGGGGGGGGGGGGGTTGTTGCCATGGTAACATGCTCCTTAAAGAACTGAAGTGGGAAACAAGTAGAGTCAGCGATGCATATTACGTATACATCTGTATTGTTGATATATACACCAGATAATGGGAATCAATGGCAGCCATTATTGTGATTGAAGTGTTTAATTACTTTGTTTGATTAAAAGTAAAGATGTGCATAAGCATCGGGACCACTTTAGGGTGAAGATGTTTGGAAAGATGAAACCCTGACACTATAGATGTATGACTTCATCATTATCATCCTCAAGGCTCTGATGGGAATAGATTTCAAAGCAAAAAACATTTGAAGAAATGAAAGTGAACATTATTACTCAATAAAGTGTTTATTTTACTACTTATTTCTATTACTCATGTGATCAGTGTTGAGGAGTAGCTAATTAAGAGTATTACTAACTAAACTGCATTTTTCATTAGCACAACTGTGTTCAGACTACAATTTGTATTTAGCATTTAAAGTAACAAGCTATTTTTTTTGTATCAAGCAGCATGTAGCGTGTCAAAATTCTGTTTTATATTAAGGAAATCTGATTCATTTTAGTGAATCGATTCATTTGGACAGTTCATGTTAAGGTCAAACAAATGATTCCCTAGGCCGAATGCTATTCACTGTTGCTTTTGTATAAATTAAAATTTGTATAATAATAAAAGCTATTTTCTAGCTTTATTGGTTGTATTTACATTTACACTGGTACCACTTTAATTAAACTTTAATTAATGCATTAGAGATTACAACCTAACAATGTGCAGTACTTTTATAGAATTCATTAATCTACACTGGGGATAAAATAGTGTAGAAACAATTTTCACTCAAAAATTGCTTGTAAACAGTGTTGTGCAAGTTACTTCCAAACTGTAATACATTATAGATTACTTGTTACTGTTATTTAAAAGTAATTCCTTACCTTACAATATTACTGTCTCAGAATTGTAATGCGTTACATGACTCCTATATTACTTTTGAGTTACTTTCACCAAAATAACTACAGAAGTAGAACTTAAGGTAACACTTTATTTTAGTGTCTCTTAACTAGTTGCTTATTAGCATGCATATTACTAGAATATTAGCCATTTATTAGCAGTAATTAAGCACATATTAATGCTTTATTCTACATGACCTAATTCTACATCCCTAATCCTACCCAATACCTAAACTTAACAACTACCTTACTAATTATTAATAAGCAGCAAATTAGGAATTTATTGAGGGAAAATTCGTAGTTAATAGTGAATTAGTGTTCCCTATTCTAAAGCGTTACCATACTTAACATTCTAAAATGACTAAATGTACTGCAGAGCATTTTACATCCAGTAGAGGGCGATATGGTGTATCATAATGACTGTGGGCCATCCAGGCTACTAACAATATAGCTTATAATTGGTAAAGTGAAGGCTCAAGACAATGCAAGAAAGGA